TACGACTAACATGGAGCTCGCTCCTGTTATTCCTTAGGAGAGTACACACAGTACTGGTACCTCGGTCAACCCTACAAGTTTGGTCTGTTGTTTGAAATCTCCCATCGATCCACTTAAGACCAGGAGTCGTATGACGACTCATCGGATCAAGGTTCACGAACCTCCCATTCCCATTCCCGAGAGGATTCACAAGACCATAGACATTCACCCCTGGATCAACTAGCATGTTCGCTTTAAGCTGGACCATCCTTAATGACCCATATGTGTCTCGTCTCCTACAAACAGATTATCCTCTACCTCTTGCCACGACACCTCCGACGACATGCAAACCGTCTCAACATCTGTATCCAGCCAAACAACTTCCAGTTCTCATAGACGCCATAAGCGCATTACTTGTAAAGAACACAATTTAGTGTCTTGGAACTCGGCCAATGACACCAGGGTTCTATTCTCCAATTTTTCTGGTTCCCAAGAAAGACAGTCCTCAACTACGTCTCATCTTCAACATGAAAACCTTTAACAAACTATACCTAGAGACTCCTCCAACTTTCGCATGACATCAATCGCTACTACTACTACTACTACTTATTCATCCCGGCGACTTCATGATCAGTCTAGATATACAAGACGCGTACATACACGTCCCTACCCTGCCAGAGCACCGTCATTTTCTTCGGTTTGTGTTCCTAGGCCAACACTACCAATCGCTAGTGCTCCCATTTATAATTTCTTCTAACCCGTGGCTATTTAGTCGCCTCACAAAACCCATCGTTAAGTTCCTACACACTCGAGGCATTGTCTTCGAAACCTACATCGACGACTGCATTCAAGCCAACAAGGATTGAGACACTCTACTTCGTCACCCTGATTTCTCTCAACGCCTACTTCACAAACATGGTTGGGTCATCAACACAAAGAAGTCCGAAACGATTCTACAATCTACAACCACATCTCAGATGGTGGTTAACTCCATCAAATACCTGCGAAGGAGTCTCCTTACATCCATTCACCCCAACCCTCCACCTGTTCGTCGACGCCTCAACCATGGGATTGGAAGCTCATTGCCAAGACCTATAAGTGGCAGGGCGGTGGTCACGAGAAGAAAGCCAGCTTCACATCAACGATCTAGAATTCAAAGCAGTGATTCTGGCAGTGTATAATTGGTCGACACTCCCTTAGTCCACCACACTAATGATTCAGTCAGACAACTGTCGTGTACAAGATGGGATCCATCAAGTCAACATCACTGCTATCTCTAGAGCTCGACTTCTTCAAACTGATTGACTCACTCAATATTAAAGTTCGAGCAAAACATATTCCCGTCATCGCCAAAGTCATAACCACTCGCTGTCCCAACCCGACAAACCATCTGCCACGGAATGGTGACTACATCCCATGATTTTTCAGTGGATTTGCCAGTTATTTCTATGCCCCGACGTTGACCTCTTTGCAACCCGCTTCAATACTCAGCTATCCTGGTTCGTATCTCTTATCTCAGACCCCCTAGCCTGGGTCCATGATGTGTTAGCAATACCATGCGAAGGACTACATGCTTACACTTTTCCCCCAACCGGGATTCTACATCAGGTTCTACAGAAGATATCAACGACCAATCGCCTCACTCTACTTTTAGTTGCGCCCCACTGGCCAACACGCAGTTGGTTCATAACGCTCACTTGTCTTGCAGACAGGGAATTTTACCATCTATCTCTAAGGGAGGATCTTCTGCATCAACCACACTCTCAGCTCCGTCTTCCGTCGCCAACAACCCTCAATCTATGCGTTGCCGCATTTACAGAAATCATTGATAGGTAAGGGTTATTCTGAATGAGTGAGGGCTCACAGATCATCTACGAAAGCCATATATATGACCATAAACGGAAGGCATTTGAATTGTACAGTCATTCACATGACATTTCTACTCCTGCCACGGTATGCCCACAACAAATTGCTGAATACCTTCACTATCTTCGATCATCTTGTAAAACAATCATTGATCAGATCGTACAAGTTGGTGGATCAAACATCACGTTTTCGACCACCAATCTGGGATCTAAACATCATACTTTGCCATCTAACTTTGGCCGAGTACGAACCTCTCGCCTAGAAAGATTTCGAACACATTTCTTTGAAGACAATTTTCCTTCTGGCTCTTGCAACGTCGGCTTGAGTGAATGAAATTCAAGCTTTAGACATCAACAGAGTGCGTTTCGAACGAACCACACATGGGAAAGTATTTTTGGTACTACGATGGGATTTCATTGTCAAAAATCAACTTCCTAGTCAACCCGATCGACTATTCAGCATAACACCATTGACCGCCCTCTTAAACCCTGACGAAGACACATCGATATGTCCAATACATGCACTTCGAATCTATCTGGAAGCGGGTAAACTACATCGTTGATTACGCAAGAGCTTATTCATCGCGCACTCTGCGGCAGCTACTACGGAAGTATCCGGTACCACAATATCGTTTTGGATACGCTCAGTGATCCTTCAAACCTACACCTTCGCTGGCCTACCTGTCCCAGTCGCATCTAATCCTCACGAAACCCGCTGCTTCATAGTAATTGCTCCTTGACCGCAATTATGGAGGGATGTGTTCGGAAATCCGATACCGTGTTCGCATCCCATTACCTCCGAGACATTTCAGTGACGGACGTTCAAAGCCCTCACCAGTTTGGACCCTTGGTACTCTCACAACAGATCTCCAAGACACATCTGTGCAGATAGGGAGTACAACCAGTTTTTCGTTACATTACATCCATCTCTATTCATAATAAACATTTGTCATAATTATTTGATTTTATTGTATTCATTTAGGCTTCCCAGACTGAGTATTCGGTAGGAGGATATAATCACTCATCTGTAGAGACCTTGGTCTTCAACTTGAAGTCTTCATTAAATGCGGCCGATTTCAGTGTCCTGATCCCTTATTTCACACACCTCTACTTTAGGTATGTGCGTTGAGTAACGGATCGATGATCCTTTTGTGGATATTGTTATCTTTTTTTACCCATCGATTCAATCACTTACATGATTGAGGGTTTGATGAAGCGATAAAAGAGATGCCGAGCGGGTCAAACCTATCGTCCTCTGGAGATAGGATCACCCTGTCTTGTAGATTCGACGACTGGATGCATACTCTCTCGAATATAAGTCGTACTCGTTCGTTTTAGACCTACGATTACGCTTCCTTACGTTTGAACATGTTACACATATTGTACCCTACTTAATGTGTTTCAATTGTTCGTGTATCTGATCTCAACATTCTTTGAGAGTGTTCTTCTTATCCTGTCTACGAGTTTGTTTTTTGTTTGTTTGTTTTTTGTGTCTTATGACACTTAACTGTGTTTCTGAATTAAGTATTGTACCACTGTTAAGTTCCAGCTTCCTCATTAATATCCTACGGTTGTGACAAGGGAGTTGCGCCCTACCATCCAACCGTGGGATAAAATGTAAAGGGTGAGATAGGATAAGTTTAAAAAATTGAAACTTTTATTACAAAATAAGATAGTATACTTATATAGTATTACTTATACTATCTCACACGTTATATGCCCACCCATCCATCCTGCATCGCATTTTCTTAGTCTATATGCTCTTGAAAGAGAATGAGTTGGCTTGGATAGACACGTGATCAGTGCAAGAAGGTCAACCAGCATGCATAGCGCGCAAGACCCAGATCTGGGAGCTGACTTTTGCGATGTGAGGTATGACAGGGTTAATTAACTTTAGAAGCTTTTATTTCAGACACGTTTCCACTCAGAATCGAAAGAAGAAAGAGAAATGCATACGTGTGAGATAGGCTAAGTATAAAAATATACCATTTATAATAAAATGTTCAACTTTCATCATTACTTTACAAATTACAGCTGTACAGAGTTGCGGCTCAGAGACGTAGCGGAAAACTATGATCGAGGGTTCGAATCCCAGCACGAATATACGCCCGGGTACAATAATTTAAATGGTCAAAATGTCACACTGTCGCATTTTCGCGCTTCGGCTAATTTTGACACTTTTTACTTTTTGTTGTTGTAAAGGTGACAACGCGACAATGTCACTTCTAAGATTCTATATTTATGCAATGCCACAGCATGCTGAAATCAATATCCGTGGGTATGTAAGTAACGTCACGCTGCAACAGGATAATGGTTGCTCTTAAAAGACTTTTGAGGCAGCATAACATTGCTGCACAACCATGGCTAGCTGTTTCACCAGACCTCTCCCATAAAACATTTCATGGATGAGATGGTAGGAGACACCTGCGACAGGACCAGCCGGTAACACAAGCTCAACTGGCCAAGCCTGCAGTCTTTGCAACAGCGTCCCTGGGCCACTTTTCAATCACTTTTCAATTGACATTGTTAATCGTAAATCGACTTTTAGCAGATATTTCTTGTGGTAAGGATTTTGTCGCTTTTATTTAAAGATGTCCCTTTGGAGCTTGTTTTCAGAATTCCATTTTTCAAAATTTCAAGTTCACATATGCCTGTGTTCTGAAAAGACTGTGGTGCAGAGTCTTGTTATATCTGTTTCCTGACAGATGTCCAAGCAGTTTGTAAGGAAACCACCTTTCAACTTATAGAAAAATGCACGATTTCCGGGTCATGATATCCAAGCAAACGTCAAAAGGATAATATTTTCAAATGTAAAATAAGGGGCTGCAATGTTTCCAAGAAGAGCGTCACCTCTTCAAAACTTTCCACAACTCATCAAATACTTCCATAACTTTCTGAACTTTCCAAAGGTTCTGAAACATGGCATTTTCGCTTGGAATTCACAAATGTCAAAACGTGGCATGTTTCAAAAGAGAACCATTGACATGGCTTTGAACAACACAGAATCTTTGTAAAAGCAGATGTACCAATAACTGGGTATTTCAGTTACGAATGTAATTATTTATGAATACAGTTCTTTTGCATTTGATTATGTTATTTCAAGATATGCTGATACTGACTAGCACCTCATGGAAAAAAATACATGTTTTATCGCAATAATTTTTATTGTATGTCCATATTACATTACACATTAGGACACTTTATTTGGACAAACATTTTTTCTTGGCATAATAAGCAAATTCCACTTTGTTCGGTAGTTGATTACTTGTATGATCATTTACAGTAATCATGGTCCAGATGGCCGCTTACATTTGGACAATCTGTTTGGTATGTTGGGAATTGTAATAGTCGTAGAACGAGGTGAATGTGTGGTTGTTGTAGTAGAGGTTGTGGTAGTTGTGGTGGTGGTAGAGATTGTTGTAGATGTAGTTGTTGTGGTGATAGGGGTGGTAGTGGTGGAACTTGTAGTAGTGGAAGGGGTTGTGGTAGTGGTGGGGGTTGTAGTAGTAGTGGAAGGGGTTGTGGTAGTGGTAGTTGTAGTTGTAGTAGTGGTAGGTGTTGTAAAGGGGCATATATATGGTTCATTACAGGTCTGGCAACACAGGACACCTCTTACAATGGGGGTGAAGCCCGGACAAAAAGCGGCTTGACAAGGAACTATTGGGTCATCACCTTGAGGACATCCCTCTGAAAATGATCAAATTAACAAATAAGTACACAGGTGTGGCCATGATATGAATTACAGCCAAGTATTATCATCATAAAACGTCTTACCCAAGAACTATTGCTTTCTTTACGACATGATATAATAATGTCAATATTAGCTTTGTTACAATATCACTTGAACATACCTGATCTTCCGTCTTAAAACAGAATGTAGTTGTAAATACATCTCGTCTTATTACACAATTCATGTTTGTAAAAAATAATGTTATTGTGACATATGCCAGCGGTAAAAAGTAACGGTGCTTCGTATACAGTGGTGTAAATGTTGTTATTGCAAAAAAATCAACTTACTTTTTTATCATTCGTCTGATCAATGTTTTATCATAACAAATACCTGGTAACAGGAGACAGAGCGGCACGTCCTAAAAGAGGGATGGTGTAACAACTGAATTAACAAAGTCAATCTTGGGTGTGACCACCAGTTGCGTTGATACAGGCGAGGCGGTGCATTGTAGACACTAGATGATTGAAAAGAGCCTTGGGGATGTTGTTCCACATGACAACCAAAGATTGGCTCAACTGAGCTTGTGCTACCGGCTGGTTCTGGTCCTGTCGTAGGCGTCTCTATCTGACCCCAGAAATGTTTTATGGGAGAGGTCTGAGAAACTGCTAGCCATGGTTGTACAGCAAATTTATGCTGCCTCAAAAGTCTTTTACAACACATGGAACGTAAGAGCAGACATTATCCTGTTGCAGTGTGACGTTACTTCCCTGCATTTGCACAAAGGGATTTCGAACCATGACGTCCCGGTGGCGTACGTCATTCCAGTTGCCCTTAACAATGATGAGTTGCCACCATATACCACCCACAAACTGACGCGGTGAATAACACAAGAGTTGCTAAAACGTTCTCCTGGCCGCCTATAGACCATTGCACGAACCTGAAGGAAACCTGGAATCATCTGTGAACTGTACACTGTCCCAGTCTTGTCTTCTTGACATCAGATGCTGTCTACACCAAGCTAAGCTTTCCCGACTGTGACTCGGAAGCAAAATTAGGCGTATCGTTGGATTGATGTTTGGCTCCCTCAACCGGTTGTGTACGGTCGTGCCACCTAGTGGTCCAAAACCCAGGAATTGCCCTAGCTGTTAATGTGGCAGTTTGGTTTCGATTCAGTAGATGTACCAACCGAATATGGTTGTCTTACTGACTTGATTTCACACGTGGAAGACCGCCCCAGGCAAATCACGAGTGTTGCCCTGGTCTAGATAATGTTTTCATGAATATGTATTGAAAAGGCATTCTTTATTTTAGAATAAATTCATTTTTAATGAACTATATATGAAACACCGTTACTTTTTATCGTTATGCATGTAAAAACACTTCCTATCATTAAGGGTGTACTGATATAATTCACCAATAAGTTATTCAACTCTTATTCCAAATCAGAATGTCATATTGGTTAAGTATACTTGGTGACACCGTTTGGTGATTTGTTTCTTCTAAAAACACCTCTTATTACAGGAGACACATGAGCAAAGGAATCATATCATTTACATGGATGACACATGTTGCTATTTCAAAAGGAGAAGAACTTAAACGATTAACAATATATAAACAACCAGCTTTGAACTTAATATGGCCATCAGGTTACTTTACCTGAGATAAATATAGGGTTCAAGCCACATGATCATGACTTTGGTCCCTAAAATAATCAGTGCACAACATACCAACATTGTGAGGAATAATAATACCAAGTTGATTCACAAGGTAGAAAATGAGTGTAACCATGAAAAAGGCTACGGCAGGGAGAGGGTTAAAGGCTACGTCTGAAACACATAAGCACAGGCATCCTTTCACACCGTTGACACTGACGTCAGTTCGATAACACGCGGTCATTCTGACCACTAGATTCTCAGTTTTGTCAGCTCTTATAAAAAATCATTGGGTGTTTATGACATATCTGGATCCAACTGGTTAGAATTGTTTGTAATACTGACTGGTGTTAAAGGTATATACAAGTCGGCTGACGTTGCTGAGTGCGACAGAAGCAGGTATTATACGCTTATAGTCCTAGCCACTTGAAATAGAAACACGAAATGTGTGCTAATACTTCTGTATTACATACACATGTAAGTGCAAACAAACGATGAGGAATATTACTTACAACAATAATGACACAAAATGCAAAGTGCGCTTTTCAAGAAATATCTATTTTGTTAGCAATAAAGATCGTCATTGAGTTTTGATCATGTGTTTACAGTCCGACTGAGGGTCGGCAGCTAGGTACCTGCGAGCGGCTATATTCAGCAGTGAGTGCGGCGTATGTACATTACCAGTACGACCTGAAAGGAAAACCCCGCGCAGATGTAGTATTTAAAGCTAAATATAACCTCCAGTAACCTGACTGCCGACTCTGACCCGGATTGTAACCACGTGATCAAAACTCAAAGATGATGTTTATGGCATAAATCCATAAAAACAAATAACAGTACGCAGTTAGTCAGGTTGTTTCTGATTACTAAGTGACACATTTATAAATAAACAACCCATGAATCATCGAAAATTCCGCAACCTGCTGTCAGGGAACACGCCAGTTTGTAAAAAGAGGTCACAGGTAGTGATGTCATACAACATTTTTGTACGCACATGGATTTTTCGTACCATTTACATATTTTTATCGCAGTGGATCACACTGTTGAATGTTTATCAATGTTAAATATCATATCATACGTAGATCTAGGCCACAAAGTGGATGAACCTTTGTAATTTGATAGCTAGTACTCATCTTGTTCAATTGAGATACACGACCAACCTGACTTATTTGTACTCTATTCTAGACATTGTGTACACCATAAAAACATATTATGCTGTGCCTGAACAGCGTTGAAGTCTGTCTTACAAATAAAGATTTTATCGGGTGAGATATATAAAAATCACAACACCAATATTCGTCCTTCTCCGACGACGTTAAAAACACTAACACTGCATGAATTTGTGCATTTCCGTGTATGCCCTCATGTTTGGATTAATGTGTGGAATTGTTGGATTCTATGGCCACAGGCGGCATCACCTTCGGAAAATAATATTGACATGTGCACACTACACTACATTTCATAAGTAACTTCCCCTATTTTCGCGAAAATTTCTCGCCACTATTGCGGCACTAACGCGGAATTATCGCGCCACCTTTGAGCCATTAACGCTAAACTATTGCGCCACTTTCGAGACACTTTCGCGCCATTTTCGCGATAACATTTTGCAAGATCGCGGCACTTTCGCGGCACTTTCGCGGCACTTTCGCGGCACTTTCACGGCACTATCGCGCCACTTTCACGCCACTATCGCGACACTTTCACGCCACTATCGCGACACTTTCACGCCACTATCGCGACACTTTCGAGACAGAATAGTCACGCTATCTTGTGACAGTTGTGCTAAATGTACGGTACAATATATTGTATTACTTTTTTCCTTGACTGATTTTGAGTTACGTTTTCCATGGCATGCTACTCTGCATTATTTAAGATCATAGTGTAAAGCTTCTTTTCCTTTTACCAATACCGATATCTATACTTTATTTAGACTTCAAATGTTAGGTGATCTTGTGGTCATGACTCCAATCACAAATACTCGTACACACATTAGCTGAGGTGATTTTCACGGCAACAAATAAGATAGCACAGAATCAAACACTATCATGTGTCGGCCAAAATGACCGTCAGGAAACCTCATAACCAACTAATGTTTTGTGCATGTCTAGTATCCCATAATGTTTCGTGATAAGTTTCATTCTGAATATAATGTGAAATAGTCTGGACAAAATCGTTTGGTTATTAAAGATTTCCTATGGTAAACGAAGTCATTCACAAATATTACGTCGTTAGGTATTTGTATTACACAGTTCTTGATGTGTGGACGACTATTAACATTGTAAAAGAAAACGCTTTTTATTGGAAACAAAATAAACAAAACCATTTCCATAATTTACTTCTTTTCCATTCTATTCCGACTATATCATAAGCATGTGTTCATGAATCATACTCATGAATCAGGTTAGAGCGTATCCACCACAAACACATGCAAATGCAAGTCAGGTATTTGCAAGTCAAAGACATACATGTACAGTTACCACATTGAAATAACACAACTTTATACGAAGCTTCTGAAATAAACTTAGGGAAGAGCTGGTTTCGTGTTTTAGAGGAAGACACTAGAATATACATGTATGTATTTACATAGACTTATCAGGCTGATTATAACTAGATTTGATTGGGAAATTTTAATCAAATTTTTTTTTCAAGTACATTTCTTAGAATTGATGAGAGAATGTAAATCTTCCATGAACTGCTATTTGAGCGTCTTCAGGATTTATAACATGGTGCCCCGATTTTGATTTCAGTGGGGGGCACGGGTGGCCCAGTCGTCCTAGGCGTTGCGATTCGCTGTGCATAGTTGCGTCCCTTGGGCACGCCAGAAACCTATGATTGTGGGTTCGAAACCCGGTTCGCCCCAATTAAGTTTCTAGGTTTGTCAGCACCATACCCGTGCTCGTGGGGTTCACCGAAATGGTGAACGTCTGAGACCTGCATCACTTTGGGCTTTCCTCCCACATTAAGCTGACACGCCGTGATATAACTTGAATACTGTTAAATGGGCAATTACCTAAAGCAATTCCCCGAGAGTTGTTGCCTTTGTTATTGTTTTTCCCCGTGAGTACCCGGATGATATAGCAGAGATCTAGACTAGTTCGCGGCCTGTGCTGCGCCATTCGTAAGCGCAGTTGTCACTTTTATTGACAGTATAAGGGCGTATGGTCACATTTATCAACAAAATGAAATACAGTTTTGGAAATAATATGGAAATGTAGGTATCTTTGTGGGTAGCATCATTAATGGTGACGGTGTTTTGATAAGTCACTTGCTTGGTAATTGTGTGATTTTCGTTTACACTATTTTGACTTGCAACACAAAGAAAATATTTCACCTGCCCATTGCTTATTTTATGGTGTTTATTTTTT